TTTTTGCAGGGATAATGGCTCTAAAACTCAGCTTGTGTTTTGGGGAGAAAAAAAATCTATTCCATTAATCAGGCATGAAGTCTTACACAGATGGCTGATAGAATAGATTATGTCTAGTAATCCTTTTGTGTCCTAGAAGATTAAGGATATTCTGGTGCAACAGCAGTCAGATGACACTTGAAAAAAAAACCCTGAAAATTCTTGGTATAATCCAGCAAGGGATAAGGCTTTCCAGTGGTGCAAAGCGAATAAGAAAGATGGATGTGTCACTAGGTACAGGAAAGGAGTGCTCATGCATTCTGAGATCTCTGTGAAGGACTGGCGAGATATGGATCTGTATGAAGATTACAAATCTCCTTTTGATTTTGACACTGGAGTTAATAAAAACTACCTTTATTTACTTCCCAGCATGACGTTCTCCCCTCCTGAATCTCCTGTACTGAAGAATTCTGGTAACTCTCTTGTGTTTTAATATATGTAATGTTCTAAAAATGAGTACTATTGTAATAGGAGATAACAGCTCAGCTTGCTTTTAGCATTTAATAAGTTTCTGATTCATCTGTTGGAAATGAAAACTATCATACTGTAAAAAGATTCTCAATATTTAGAAGCAAGCCTTTTTTGTATCTTAGTGTGTTCAGGGATATTATTGCTTAGTTAGAAACTATTGAAAGCCTAGTTTAGATCATGAATATATGAAATGGAATCTTATTTGATATTGCCATGCAACTCCTAAACCTGCCCTGAGTGTCTTAGGATTGGAGAACAGTTGGTTTCTGATTCATGAGAAATAGAAATGACTGTATACCCAAAATATAATTATTGAAATCTAGCATTCCAAATGCATTAGATTTGTATTCTCTTTTAGGGATTAAATAAAACTCATCTTAGATTATGGATTCAGCTGTTTAGGAAATTCATAACATACTATTTAGATATAAATAAGTTGCACCATTTTTAGATTTTTTGCTAATAAAAATGTTCAGGCATCATTTGTTATATTTTGTAATTTTTGCCTCTGTATTTGGTTAATGAGCAATAGTGCTCGTCTAAGTGATTTTGAGGTCTTTTGATTGATATATAATTTGATTTTCCTATGTGATTACAACAACTTCAGAGTGGCTGGCAGCCTAGAGGTATAATTTGGCTTCAGAGCAGGAAGTTGTAGATTTGATGACAGAACTCAACATTTCTTTCATCTCTCTTTTGCCCCTGAATCTTTACAATGATGCAAATTGTGCTTTGGATAGTTTCCAGTATTACTCAGTAGCAACATTTATAAATAGAATGAAATAAACATTAATTAGCATTAATTTCTAAATCGGGGGAAACAAATTCTAATGTTGCCCAGTGGCAATGCTTAAATAGTATTAGACAATGTGGTCCATGGTGTAGAATGCTAATGAATGGTAATTCAGCAACCTCTGTAGCACTCCACATTTTATATACACCTGTTACTTGTAAGCATCTAAATTTCTAAATGGATTGAGTGAAACTTTTGTAAATTTTGAATATTAGAAAATGCTTATTATGAATTTGTAGGAATTTGCAAATATTGGAATAATGTAAGTGGCCCAGAGTCGCCTGGCAATAAGAATAGCAGCAAACAAATTTAATAAATCAATAATTATAAAAAGCGTATTCCAAACAACTTGCAGGAAATTAGCATATCAGGTTTGAGAATATTTTATCTTCCTACTCTTCTTTATGGTAAGAGGAAAAGGGATTTATGATTGGAAAATTCTACCACAACTTTTTTCAGCTACATATAATAGTTTGCATATTATTCATAATAAATAGTACCCCATTATTTTTCAGTTACTGAAAAAATAATGCATCTTTCCATTGCAACTTGAATTTTTCATGTTTGCACTAAGTGAATGACTTCAGATTTAAGTTTTCTGTAATTAATATAACATATAAAGTATCTTAGAACAACACTGTCTTTCTATCCATAAGCAGGATAATTTTTCAAAACCAATACAACATGATATCACAGGAGAAAATTAAGTTTGGAAATGAGGTAAATCTAGCCAAGAACTAGCCAAAGAGAAATATTTTGGTAAAAAAAATAATAATTTCCTAATACATCCCTGTTGAATTTTGACTTGGAATGTTGCAAAATTATATTCTAATCCACCTCTCTCTTTCTGATCACTTGACTTAACAGCAAGCACATGTGGCTCACCCTTTGTTTCCCAGTGTACACATTCAAAGCATATTACTTTTACTAAGAATAAAGTTGCCTCATGTGATCAATGCTGGTAAAGGGACTAGAAAGAATTCCAGAGGTCACTCAGTGTATGCTTTCAGTTTGCTGTAGCATGCTCAGAATATTTTCTCATTTCTGTCTGCTACATAGTGAAAATTACTTTAAGATTTCACAGCACATGCAGATCTCTAACCTATAGCAAAGTGACCTGATGTTTTTAATCCCTTGTATGTCACCTTTACTCAATTTGATTAGGTAGCCCTATAATGGAATAAACAGAGTGCTGTTTTTGTGGTATGATCTTTTCATAGCTCCTTTAGGCACGGAAGAACAGATTCTCTGGATCAGTCGCCTGCTTAATCCGTAGCTAGAAAAACTTTAAATTGCTACTGTTGGAATGCTCTGAATGAATTGCAGAGTCTCAATGTTGTTTTGATGCTCTTCGTTCATATTTAAGTATTTTCTTCAATAGTTTCTGATTCCAGGGAATTCTTGGATGTCTTGGAAGCATATTTGGGGGCACTGAGAAGAGAGTGGCTTGATAAAAAGGAAAAGACTGGAATTGTAGTTCACTTTCCATAAAAGCATCTTTTCTCATACCCTGTAATTCTTGTTTGTTTGTTCATTTCATTCAGTCATTCAATGTAATTACCGTGTTTCTCATATAATAAGGACGGGTCTTATTTTTTTTTGAGCCCTGAAAAAATGGCTAGGTCGTCTTTTCGGGGGTGACTTAATTCCGCCCCCTTGCATCTTCGGGCGGGCGGGCGGCAACAGCTTGGATGTTTACCTCGGCGTTGGTGGGGCACTTCGTATCGGGGGTCAATGCAGGCAGCACCATATCCGGGTGTGCAACAAAAGTACTTCCTAACGGCAAGCCCCCCCACCATTCCCCCCCATTTCGGGACTCTAATAAATTGCCATGCTATTAATTTCTTCAGGTCTGGAAACAAAATAGTTTGGTGTGTCACTTCTTCATTGTTTGTCACATTAATTGTCATTGCTCTAAAATGAGAGCAGTAGAAAAAAAATAGGCCTTAATTTGGGGGGAGGGGCTTAATTTCATTTCATGCCTACAAAACATGCTGGGACTTCCTATTGGGGGAGGCCGTATTGTTGGAGAAACAGGGTATAATCTAGGCTTCAGTTTGGTCATAAACTCAATCCGATTGCAAATGGGTAGCATGCCATGCAGGTAACCTCTGATACTTCAAATCACAGGGACTCTAATAAATTGCCATGCTATTAATTTCTTCAGGTCTGGAAACAAAATAGTTTGGTGTGTCACTTCTTCATTGTTTGTCACATTAATTGTCATTGCTCTAAAATGAGAGCAGTAGAAAAAATATTCAGTGGCAGGAGTAGATTATGGGGAGGAGGATGGGCATTCTCTTTGCGCAGTATCTTGTGTCTAGAGATAAGTGTGTGCTCATTGTTGACAGTTACTGCAATACGCTGTGTCATGAATCTCTCAAGTTCTGCTTCTTAAGTTCAGTGGCTACTTTTAAGGCCAAAGGGGCTAGTTTTTTGAAAGTCTGGAATGAGAAATCTTGGGAGGACAGTGAGACTGGAGAGGGAAGCTACACAGTAGAACCAAAATCTAAACATCACAAGTGACTTATTTTTCCCCCTCTTAAATAAAGCAGGTCACTATTAGGAATGTTTTACTATTTTAGCTGATCACTATCAAATATGGCTAGCCTTTCTTCAGTCTTTATTAAACTCTTTTTTTAAGCAGGACATCTTGGTTTTTCATCAAAAGTAATTTTCAAATTTTCCCCAACAGGAATTCATGCTTCTGCTGTTCCCCCCTCCTTCTATAAATAAATACATTTACTAGCAGTGGGTGGAGATTATATGCTGCAATGCATGTAGGACTTTGCCACCTCATTTGCAGCTCTGCAGCACCCCAAGATAGTTGCCAAATTTTGATGTAGTGACTATAAGATCAAAAATAACTAAATGGAAAATGGACTTTGGCATCCACTCAAAATATGATCAACATACTAGGGGAGAGAGGGGGGTAACAGCTTCTACAGCCTACTGGCAAATCAGGACATCATGAGTCATAGTTAGACCAATAGGAGAGTTGCTTATCCTTGACCTAAAAGAAAAGGATCATGCTCGGAGCTATTGCTGCTGTAATTGCTTTGCAATATAATAATCAGTAATATTCTTAGTTATAGAGTAACTGGTTCAGGTTCACTTATAGGATTGGCACCTAGATATAGGGAGGCCTCAGTGAAGCATCAACTTGTGGTCTAATACTTTGTTTACAGATCATAATAAAAATTACAATGGGGCTAGGAAGTTCTGTCCAGGCATACTTTCAATTTTCACTTTAAATGAGAACAGGGCATTGACGTCATGTGGATCAGAAAGGGTAGCTAAGTAAAATTGCTTGGCATGGCTTACTGTTAGATAGGGCAGGGGGAGGAGCAACCATCAATAGTGTGCTTTAGTCCTCACATCTATTTATGATGAAATGTGCTACTTGAAACTAAGTTATCTTTCTGGGTTTTTATTAGAATTGATTCTTGACTTGGCACTTAAATTACAAAAAAAAAAAAAACCTGTTTCTTTGCCCCTGACTTACTATTTTTATTATTTCCCTAAAACGAGCTTTAGTTAGTTGAACTTCACATTTGATACTAAGCTTTTTTCACATCTTGCAGTACATCAGTTCTTTTTTCATACCTAGCCTGTCCTAATGGCTTCCATTCTACCTCACTGCAGAACACCTTAGTAGTGTGATGCCAGGTTGACAATTCTGATTTGCTTTTTAAAGGTCTGCTGAAAAATGAAGCCATTCCTGAAGGAGAAGATGCGGTTGCCGCAATTGATGTAGAAGCGCTCTCTGAAGAAGAACAAGAAGAGCTTAGAAGAGAGCTTGCTAAGGTAAATTTAATTTGTAATGGTAAAACTTTTTGTGCAATATTTAACACTAATTAGGAACATTTACTTATACACCTGTATTTGGGAAAGATAAAGTGATTGAGTTAAACAGATTGTGCAAAGCCGTGTTGTATTTAAGAAAACATGGTAGTCTGGAAGCACACTTTTGCTTTCTGTCCTTCTGAAGGGCTGCAAGGATTAAGCCTAGAGATGTCATCAGAATGTGAGGATCTAAAATTTAACCCCATTTAACTCTATTGGAGGTTCTGCTCTACAAGTACAATTGCCTGCATGTTGACTGTGACTGTTCATGGGAACTTGCATATTATTATTTACATAATTTATGTATTGTCAATGTGCCGTTTTTCTGATGTTGCTGTGAATAAAATAAGCTTGGTTTTCCAAGAAGGTCTGAATGGTATGATATATTCTTTAGGAAAGTCATACGTCAGCATGTGGCTTCCTCAACATTCACGGCATGCGCAGGAGCTAAAATGTTAAATATCTCTTTTATGTTTTGGGTGAGTTGGAATGAAATGGGAAACTTAAAGCTATTTCAACTTTCATAATCAACAGAAATTTACAAATTAAACTGATTTCTCATTTGGTGGAGCAGCAAAGCAAATGAATGCCTTAAACCCCTGATTGGCTCAAGGCACCCATTTTCTTTTTAAATAAACCAAATCTTCTCCTAACTCTTCCCTATGAACTTAAAAAAGCCATCTGTCTAATGGTGACACCCCAAGATATACTTCCTATAGACTGCTCTTCTGTAGAAAACATCATAGAGTAATTAAAGGTCATTTCGGGATCTCTGTCTAAATAGTTATGGGTTACATTAGGAACGCTTGCCTATTTATGTCTACCCATCCTATCTGGGCCAGCAGGATGGGCATGATTTGGATCCCATTGGTTAAGAAATACCTGTGGCTAGAACCTAGAAAATGTGCTTTTTCTGCCATTATGCATCTTATGGAAAATCTTCCTCCTGGCAATTAGGATGGCCCTAACCCTCCTAGCCCAGGGGTGGGATACGACAGGGTTAACCACCGGTTCGGTGATTTACGAGGTTCAGTGATTTATGATGTGCTTCCCTGCACACTGCGCATGCGCCTGTAAATCGTCATCACGCTGCGTGTAGAGAAGCAGCCTTTGAAACAGCCCTCTTTTCCTGCTTTTTTAACTGCAACTGTGCCTCGCACGGCAACTGAAGTTGAAAAATCAGGAAATAAAGGTCAGGTAAAAGCCCGGGTGGGCGGGTAGGCAAAAACATCCGCAGACATAGAATCGGTTCTATGTCTGCTGCTCTTCAGAGCTACCAGTTCTACAGAGGTGGACAGAACCGGTAGAAACCCACCCCTGCTCCTAGCCTTTTGTGAGGTCCTAAAGACCTGTCTCGGGGCCTCGACCCCTGACTGTGAAAGGACCGAACTCCTTGCTGTGTTAGAGTTGCTGATTATATTTTCCTCAGCTGCTATGCATTTTAATTTTTGTAACTGTTCTCTGCCCCCAGCCACTTGTTGACATAGAAGTTATACAAATTAATTAGATAAATATATGATGGTGTTGTAGATTCTTAATAAAGTTCAGATTTGATAAAGCACTTATGCAAGTTTATGATATGAAAAGGTTTTTTTGCTTAAATTTATGAAACATAGTGTTTATATTGCCTGTGAACTAGAATAGAGAGGTTGAATACCAGATACTTATTGAATTGGCTTAGTGTATTTGATTCCGTTCTATTTAGTGTGTATGTTGAAATCTGTGTTAAAATATACACACAAATCTGAAAGAAATGCTAGTAATTATGTGAAATAGGGCATTTTCCCTATATGTAACGTTCTTTTCATAGTTTCTCTTTATGGATTCTGTCCCGTAGGTAGAAGAAGAAATCCAGACTTTGTCACAAGTGTTAGCTGCCAAAGAGAAGCATCTAGCTGAAATAAAGAGGAAACTAGGCATCACTTCACTGCAGGAACTGAAACAAAATATTTCTAAAGGATGGCAAGATGTAACTTCAACAAATGCGTATGTTTATCTTGCTATTTGAGAGTGATGTGAAAGTACTTGAGTTTAATTAGTTGAGTTCTTTGGATATTGTCCAGAAAAATCTATAATTTGAAATCTAAGGGGGCAGGGTTTTTTGTTTTTGTTTTAAAGTGATCTAATGGAGTGGGAAGTTGAATTATCTGCATGGATATCTGATGATTGCTTTTTTTTCTAGTGTACAAACATGGTTGTTAAACAAGCCATTGTAGTCTAATTTAGACAAAATGTTGGACTATAGATCATGTATTATAATTGTAAAACCAAGGTTCACACATTACAGGTACACAAACCAAACCAAACACATGATGATTTAGTAGGGTGTGTGAATATAGTTGTTGTCTGTGGGTTTTTCTTCCATTAGGAGAGCTTTCAAATGTTTAACATGTAGCAATAGCACTTAGACTTATATACCGCTTTATAGTGCTTTACAGCCCTCTCTAAGCAGTTTACAGAGTCAGCATATTGCCGCCAACAATTTGGGTCCTCATTTTACTCACTTTGCAAGGATGGAAGGCTGAGTCTGAGTCAACCTTGAGCCTGGTGAGATTTGAACTGCCAAATTGTAGGCATCTGGCTGCAGAAGTAGCTTGCAATACTGCACTCTAACCACTGTGCCACAGAGGCTCCTGTGTATGTATGTACTATCTATGTCATGGCAATTTTATTAGTTAAAGTAGAATGGCAGATGATTTCGAGGCAGGTAATATTTAGAATTCTAAACAAGTATATTAACCTTGTCCAATTTATACTACTACTACTAAATAAAGACTTCAGTTTTTAAAAATGTTGCTAGCTGAAGGCCAATCATTGTTTAAGATGAAAGCAATCTGACTTTTCTTGTACATAGTTGTCTTTTTAAAAATCAAATACAATAACAAACCCTGGCAACAGATCAGTAACCTTAATTTATCTTAACAGATGAAAGGAAAACATTTAGAATTCAATCTAAAGCTGATGTTCAGTGGAAATTCTAGTTTATTAAAAGGCTTTATTATGCTTTTCATGGGGTACAATACATCTTAATTTTAAACATCCAGAAAGGGAAATAGTTGAATATTTACATCCTGAACCTTTAAGGTTCAGGGGGTAGAAAAACCGTGATAACAGAAATTGATTGACTTTCCCAATCTAGGTACAAGAAGACATCAGAAACATTGTCTCAGGCTGGACAGAAAGCATCTGCTGCTTTCTCAACAGTGGGTACTGCCATCACAAAAAAGCTGGAAGATGTGAAGTATGTTTTATTTCTACCCCCAGTTATTTATGTTGTAATGGAGCTTAATTGTACCAGATTTTTTTAAAGCCTAATGTGGTCTGTGCTGCAGAATCTCTAGAATTGTAGAAGAATACAAACCCTTTCTTTCTCAGCAGACTGTCACAGACAGGCAACAGAGCTCTAATGGTGACACCAATAGCTTCTCTATGCTTTTCCTGTGTTATTACTTGCAATTAAACAACTGATTAAGATTTTATTGACGTAATACACTCAAAATAATTTTGGTTGCTGTATAGATGTGAAGCATAATAAACAAAAACAATGATTGAAGGACAGTAAAAGGCCTTAAGGTTTTTGCTTTTATAATGGATATAATGTTGATTCAAGTAATTGTGATTGCTATAGATGTAATTTTAATTCTAACACAAAACACTGTTGGTTTTTATTAGAACTTTTCTTGTACACGATTGGTTGAGAATTTTGCAATTTACACTGAGTTAGATGGCTAGCAGAGACTTGACTAAAATATATTTGCATGAACTCCCCATTTCTGCAAGCTTCTCTTAAAGCAGCGGTCGCCAACCGGTGGGCCTTGAGAAAATTTTGGTGGGCCGCAGAGAAATCTCAACCCCAGAGCACCTCCCCAAAGCAATTAATCCAAGCTGCACAGAAACACAAGGCTGCGCCGCCCACATGGCCCGCAGGAATGCTCCCCGCCCACTCACTCCTTACCTGGCAAACTTGCCTGCTAAAATTGCTATTTTTCCTTTTTCTGACCATCATCTGTTCTGCTGTGCCAGGAGATTTAGATTAGCTAGGAAGCAGGAAATGGTTGGATTTCTTGCTTTCTAGCTAGTTTTTAGATATTCGGCTCTGCTTCCCTTAGGACTGAAGATTTGCTTGCAAGCAAATTCAGTGCAGACTCATGGCAAGCAAATTTGAGAGACTGAGCTGGCCGATGGTAGATAGGTAGATCACTGAATGGATTCTGTGAGCAACTCAATCTGCCTGCTTTGCCTGATTTTGGGCAAAAGTTGCTCTTTTTTTAGAAAAATAATAATATTTACATACATGGTGTGTTGTGAGTTAATTTGTGAGTTTGCTTGCAAGCAAATTTTATGTGACAGATTGAGCTAGCCAATGGCAGATAGATAGATTTCTGAATGAATCTGTGATTCTGTGAGCAACTCAATCTGCCTGCCTGCTTTGCCTGATTTTGGGTAAAAGTTGCTCTTTTTTTACAAAAAAATCAATATTTATATAAATTTTTATAATATTTACATACAAGTCATGCCCAGCCAGTCACATGACCACCAAGCCACACCCACAAATTAGGCCACGCCCACAGAACCGGTTAGTGGTCCCTGGTATCTAAAATTATGAGTTTGGTGGTCCCTGGGCCCAAAAGGTTGGCGACCCCTGTCTTAAAGCACAAATTAACAGAAGGAAATAATCTGAAATTTGAATTAGGAGCAGTAGGCAGCCCAGGCTATAAAAATAGGTTTTCTCGGCATTAGCATGTTATGAATGTTGTGAACTCCCCTGCATGAACTTTGAAAACTTCTAGTCATCCTCACTTAGAATTAAACTGTTAATATGGTTTTGAATTATTGTACAGTTGATGAGGATTTGTAGAAAAATGCTTCTGTACCAGGATGCGAGATTATTAATTAAACTAAATATAACAACATATTTAGATAAAGCAAAATTTATATGTCAAATTAAAGCTGGAATCATCTGGTTGATATACCAGCACAAATCAAACAAATCACTATTTTATTTTAATGCAGAAATCTGTTCTGACACTATTTTCTTGAAATCTTCAGATATGTACATATTTACAATACTTTGAAAAAGTATTTATATAGTATATTCTATACTTTTATATAGAATCATATTCTTATTTCATAATGTTGCTTATTATCCCACAGAGTGTAGGCATTTATTCTTTCAAATGAAATGTCTAAAGTGTTTGGAAAAAGTATGAGCCATTATATAAAGGCCCCTGAAACTCCTGTATTCTTTTACAAATTCTACCATTACAGATCTGTCAAAAAATATCTGTTCTCTTCAGGGACATGCTAATCAGTCTTTATAACCAGATTTTCCTTTCTTTTAATGCTGCCATTTAGTATACGCTGTCTACAGCATTCAATTAGTATGCCTGCTATGAGGTAAAGTATGTATTTTGCTAGAGTGCCCAGAGTTGCTATAATGTGAATAGGAATGGCTCTCAGTTTGGTTGCTACAATTATACCAGGATATTAAATATATAAAAATTATCAGATTTATATATAAGCTGTTTGGCCACTCACCTGTATTTAAAGGAAGAGATACGTTGAAAATGTAACCAATAATTTGTTAAGTGGGGGAAAACCTATTTGTAAAGGTACCACTTTGAACAATTCAGAAAAAAATTCATGTAACTATAGAATTCAGTAAACAAATCTAGAATGAGGGTGATAACCCTTTTAAAAATTAGTACAATCCTCATTGCTAAACAGATTGTGATGAAGAAGAAGGGTGCTTACTAAATTTAAAGTATCAGAGGTTATATCTTAAATGCTATGCAATATTATTTAATTTTGTTTGTAGGCTCCCCCATTTCGCCTGAGATTGTATATATATTTCTAATTTGAAAATCTTTTTTCCCCTTTTTTAAATTAGAAATTCTCCAACATTCAAGTCATTTGAAGAAAAAGTGGAAAACTTAAAGGTAAATTTTAACAAAAAAAATGTATTGTTAAAGGAGAAGAAATTGGTTACTATTACTTAACCAAAAATACTGATAGTTTAACACTTATATTTCTCCCAACTATGGAATAAATTTTATATTTAGCACTATTGCAACTGCAAGATGGAATAGACAAGAACTTTTCTTCTTAAAAGTAGAACAAAGTGATTACCAGCATGAATACCTTTGGAAATATTGTACTGTAGTGGAATAGTGCTTTTATTCCATTTTGGGACATTTTAGCTTTATTAGTACATAATATGATGTCAGGATTCTGAAAAGTATGAATCCACACAGTAGTACTAAATACTTTTACCCATGAAACCAACTAAAGCCATGTTAGGAATTCTGGATGGTGTAGTTGTAGCAGTTCTGAAGTACTGGAAATTTTTTTAGAATTGTTTTTGGGTAGGAGATTCTGAATTGGCACTCTTAGCAAGCCAAGATGAGAGTAAGGTGCAATAGTTTCATTCAAAGAATTGCACAAATAAAAATAGTGTTCTAACAAAAAATGGGGCGTAAATATATTCCAATGGAAAAACTGCTCTCTTCAGTATTTAGAGGTCTTTTTAAAAATCCTCCAGTATTTTGCCACAAATTACTGCTGTTGAATTGCCATATTTCCCAGAAAAATGCTAAAAGGGTACTTTGGATGTGTGTGTGTGTGTGTTCTATAGTTGTATGGAAATCTCCTTAAGTTGTTTTGCTGCCTTAAATTGGTAAATGACTGCTAAATATATAAGTGTATCCTCTACATACTGGCTGAGGAATTCTGATGTTGCAGTTGCTAAAGACGAAAAATAGTGGTCTAAAATACAAATTATTTACAGTATCCACAGATTATCCTCATAAAAATTTTAAATTACCCTTTTAGACTAAAGTTGGGGGAAATAAGCCTGCTGGAGCTGACTTTGGAGATGTCTTGAATTCTGCTGCCAACGCCAGTGCCACAGAAGCTACTCCAAAGCAGACGGAAGAGGAGACTCAATGATTGCTCCACCTTTGCACTGTCCACTGCCAGATGCTGCAAGCAAATGCTGAAGTGCATCACCTCTGCTGTTGTCCCCTCCAGTATGTTCTTCTGTTTAGCACTTAGCTTTCCAAATATTTAATAGTTTCTTGAGGTTCAGAGTATTTTTGAAATTGGAAAATACACTTGCCTTTGTTAATCTGCAGGACAGGAATTGTTATGTATTTTGAGGATTAGGTTTAATTCCAGTCTAGGTAATCACTAAATTACTGCATTACAAAAAATTAAAAACCAAGCTGGAACATTATGCACATGTGACATTTACATTATGAACCATCACTCATGTCTGCTTTCACAGACAAACTTTGAAAGTCTTTGTCTAGCCATTAAGTGGATACTCCTAATTGATACTCTTTCACTATATTCTTTGGCCAAATAAATTGGCTTGGGTTTTGCAATGGCTACTGTACCACTTTTTTTTTTTTTTTTTTGCAGTTTTCAAAGCTGAAGAAGGTAGCTTCCAAGCATGTCATCTGTGATTTATTGGTGTTTTCAAAAAAATATTTCTTTTGACAAATCCCAGCCTGAGACACATTTTTCCTTGGAGGTTACAGGCGAACTTAATTCAGTTTTTGCCTTGTCTGTAGAAAGCTGCACAAGTAAAATGAGCTTATAGGCATGAAGCAGATGATAAATGTAAAAGCCTAATAAAGCACAGTAGTGCTTTCAAATCATTCCATGCTATTAAAAGTGTTACATGTTTATTCCTCTCTTGAATTTAAATCATGGGACAATATATTCATTCTCTCAATGATAATTGGTTGAAGCTGTGGGCAGTTTGTACACTTATGTATGTGGATTCTAGGAGTTTGCATCTAAGAAAAGGCCTTCAGTGAAACAGGAGCCTATCTAAATTGAAAACCCTTGTTGAAGCTTGAGAATATATTTAAATATTGTAATCATAGGTCAATTTCATGTATAAAATGTTAATTAAATTTGTTGCTCTAAAAAGATTTGATTTTGCAGAAGCAAAATATACTCCAACTTTATTTGTTTATTTTCTGGCACCTTATAAAATAAGTTTTGCATATGTTTTTGCTACTTTTAATCACCAAGCTTAAACTGAACTAGAACACATCCTTAAGATACACCTTAACTTGGGCTTTGTCTTTATAGCTGCACCAAAATGGTTACACATCATATAAATCAACTTACGCTGTATTTGACAGCTTTCTGTAGCATTTCAGATTTAATCTGAATACTTGATTACATATACAATAAAATGCATTGTATTGCCAAATACAAAAGGCTTCCTGAATGTTTTCAAACATGGTTTTATATTCCATACAATTCATTGTATGCATATTTACTTTGAATTCAGTTGTGTATTAGTTACCTTTAAAATATTAATCCAGATGTTTCACTTTCTATTTTTACTTCTAAATCTTTCATTGGTTCCCAAATGGGTCATTTTTAGAAAACAAAGAACACTTTTGTTCATAGAAAAGCAATTAGATATTATGGCATTCTCATTAATCCATTTTGTGTATACTTAATTCTCTGCATAATATATACAATCAAAGGCTTTTCTGTAAACAGTAATCCAAAGGGAAACTTTATTTTTAAAATATATTACTGGGTCTCCATTATTCATTCAGTGTTAATTGTAATTCTTAACACACTGTGTATTGTTCTCAGGATCTGCTTCTTGTCATGATGTAAACTTGTTTTAGAGAGTTAAGTTGGCAGTTTTCTGATTTTTTCATATATTGGCTCAAACCTTTTTTTTCTTGCACATGCAACTTTTAGTTTTTCTCTTGCTTCATTATGCCTCCTAGCCCTATTCCAATGCTCTTTCACCAGCTCCATTGGGACCAAGTTCTTCTGGGTATAGGTCTTTTTAACAAAGAGAATCCCTTCTTAACTGTTCCAATTTGTTTCATATAATGTGATTTTGTTTTTGTTTACAACAACCTTGTTCAGTTGAATTTTTCCCTATTTTTATAATCTGGCTGTACTGAATTATTGCTGTGCTTTTGACTCAATATGCTCTTCCACACACATACAAATTCTGCACTGCAACTGTCGTTAGAACTTTTGTAAAACAAACATTAACTTCCAACTGGTATGTTAGAGCTTAGATAGTACCCTAAAGAATTTGGAAATGGAAATGTATTTTGATGCAGCTTGATACCGAGACACCATAATATAGAATATACAGGATATGAGAATGAATGAAAATATATTTGCTTTAGGAAATCCGTATTCCCCACAGGTGTACAAGCCTTCAGTTATATTTAATAATTAATATAGACAGATAACATCAAACACTTGATATTCCAAGAATGGATTTACAGATAAGTATTACATTTTGTCTTTTTGCCAATTTATTGATGGCTTGAATGGCTTTAGGTGGCATATTAAAGGTACTAAATCCAGGATCTCCCCTTTGAAAAACTTATTTATCTTCCAGGTACTTCAGGCACTACAGTAATATTAACTAGTGTGCTACTTATAATCTGCTTAACCATGTTTAATTAAGATTTACCCCACCCAATCAATTGAATTGCCCAACACAATACAAGCTTGTTTGTGGTTCAGTTTGTCACAAATAAAACAACTATTTTAGATTTTAGAAAATCAATTCTTGCTATAATTAACTTCCAAGTAAAAACCACAAGGCGGCAGTAGTGGAACAAAAATAAAGACTGAGCTTCTGAAATAACAACATATACCTTTTTAAACTTTGATAACTTAGACACAATTGATTTGGTTATTCTGAATTAAGCAACAGGATGTTCATACATGTGCAGTTACTTTTGGCTTCAAGTTTTACAATATAATTATCAACCATAGCTTAATTCTGGATATTTCTGAGAAAACTTCATGAATGTTAAAAAGTTGAGTGGAAGACTGACATTTACTGATATTTGAGAAATGGAGAAACCGATGGAGCCAGAAGGCACAAAATTTGGGAGGGGAAAATCTGAAATTCACTTATAATGCCCTAAGTGGTCCAGTGATTATAAAATAAATACTATTGATTGATTTATTAGGACGCTTTACTATTGCAGTGTGAAACTTTCAACATCACGAATAGCTTAGAGATAAGGCATAGGGCTAGAAAGCTGGAAAGTGACTTAATGTCCTGCCTTAACCATGAACACTGGCTGGATGACTTTTGGCCAGTCACATTATCTCAGCCCAACCCGCCTCGGGATTTGCTATGGGGAAAATAGGAAGGATTGCTGGATATTTCACAGCCTTGGAGTTATTTGTAAAAAATAATAAAAGTATACAAACAAAACAAGATTTGAGAATTCTCTATCCCAGCTGGGATTCCCACTCTCCCTCCTAATTCCTGGCTTTTCTAAGCACCTACTGTGTCGCCCTAGATAAAGACAAGCTGAGGTCCCAAATGTGTATCACGTAATCACACTCGGCGAGAGCATAGCAACTTCATGAAGAAAGTGGCCCATCCTCAAAAACTCCGCACCTCAGCGGAACGAAGGAAACGGGTTCTGTTCAACCCGAGAATTTTCCCCTATAACATTTGGTGAACTTCCGCTCTATTCCAGACGCAGCCTAAGAAGCCCCTCCTGCTCAGAATCTCTGATGGTGTTGGGACGGGTTGGAGAGTTACCGCTTCCGGTGTGGGCGGAGCTTGGGTAGCCGCGCTCGGCTTCAGTCATGGTAGTCGCCGGTCTCTTAACTGCTGCTGTTGGGCGAGCCCTACATCGGGGAGCTGCTTCGGTAGGAAGACGCGTCTCCTGCCCCAATCCTGGGGTGACGCTTAGCTGTCGCCGGGAGGCTTCTTCAAAAGAAGGGGAAGTTGGTGGCGATAGCGGAAGCAAGGTACAGCTCCGTGCATCCTTTCTTATTCTTCCCCCGGCTTTCTTTTCGCGTGTCCACTTTCTTCCGGAACTGAAGAAGGGCCGCCTTAACGGGTCCTTTAACGCTCTTGAGCCTCTCCGCCTAAATGCTTTGTCCGGGAACGGCCTGAGGCTGACCCTGAATGAATTCGGTACCTGGAGGCTGTACGGAGAAACGTTTTCCGTCTTACCTAGGCGCGAAGACAACTTTATAATCTCTCTAATGCTGGGCATTCTTTGCAACACTTTCCCCCGGCTTTAACTATTGTGATCTTTGTTATCATAAGAACAGCCTCCTCTCATATTTTATATAAATTGCCCTGGTTTTTTTCCCCCCTTAGGACCCATCTTCTCTGTTTGAGCAGGGGGTGGACTAGAAGACCTCCAAGGTCCCTTCCAGTTCCTACCTATTCTAATTCTTGTTCTTACTCCTCTCTCTAGCACACTGTCCATCTATCCTTGAACTGAGAAAACAAAACTCTTTTCATGATTGTCAACGACAGTGGCCTTGACAAGGCGTGTGGCATATTTATTAATCCAGATGTTTCACTCTACATTTGTTACTTCTAAGTCTTTCTTTTGGTTTCCAAATGAGTCATTTTAGAGGTCCATAGAAAAGTAATTAGATATTATGACATACTCATTAGTCCAATATGTGTATATAATTTTTGGCATAATCTATAGAATCAAAGGCTTTTCTGTAAGCAATAACTCAAAAGGAAACTTTGTTTTTAAAATATATTGCTTGCTCTCCATTATTCATTCAATGTTAACTATCTGGTTTTAGCCTTTCCAAAATTTGTCTGTTCATTTGATTTATTTGTATCCACATATGGCACTATTCTTTTTAGTAAACAAAATCATCTTCTAAAGAATTTGTGCAATACGGTAATTTGTGTGTTCCTTTTGCTTTTCTCTTGTTAGTTTAAGAACACCTTAAGTACACCTGCCTTCTAATTTCTAGGCTCAGAGAGATTGGTTCCACATGTGTTGACATAGAGCTATTCCACAAAGATTCTCAGTCTACCTTCTGAAATTGTTTTTGTAGTTGGCTCATACACTTCTGCAACAATTTGATAGAAAATGACCTGTTATTTATTATATCATAGCTGAGCATATAATTAGTAGTGCATTTTTAGTGTTATTGCCACTTCATTCCATTTGGGTCTCATACCCTAGATTATGGGCATCAAACTCGCTGCATCACATTGCTATCATGTGACATTTCATGATGTTTTTCCCATTTGCGGAGCTGGAGTGAGTGTGGCCTGTGCATGACACATCTGGCCCACTGGCTGCCAATTTGACACCCCTGGCCCTAGATAGCATATTGTATAATTTAAAATTGTCTGTGCTGCTCAGTCTAGTTTATTCCTAAAATATACAGACACATTTGTTTTTTAACATATTATGATCTACTGCATTATTTCATGCATCTGAGGCTGAATGTTGGCAGTTGGAATAAGAGCCTTGTAGCCTGATCATCTCTGGCAGTCCTACAGCATTCAGTGAAGTGAATACTTTTGGCAAACCAGATTACAGACTTAGGTTGCACGTTTACATTAGTTTGTCTGATTCTTTAAGAACTGAAGTTTAGGTTCCAAGACAAGCATTTGAGGATATTTATTTTTACTTGAAAGTAAATTCCACTATACACAGCAGGGCATTCTAAATTTAGAAGGGAATATTTGTAGTTCAGGGTTGAACGATGGGGCTCCTTCGTGCCTTCTAAGCTTGACTGTTTTCTTGCAGACATTTCATTACCAAAGTCTGATTATATTATCAAATTTGGTAATGAAATGCCTGCAAAAAACAACCAAGTTCAGAGGGCACCAAGGCCCCCACTATTCTAAATTTATTTTTCGAAGTAGAAACCATTCTTACAATTATTTCAAACAGTGATTAAAATGCACAGCATATAACTGTTAATGCTATAAAAGAAAGGTGATATGAAGCTTTGTGTGGAGAGATTTTGAAAAAGCCCTGTTGTTTCATTGTAGGACTAGGCAGTACTTCACTAGAAATGTTTAAAATGCAGAAGTGGTATAAGTACTTTTTTTTAAAGCAGCCTTATATTTTTCTAAGCTTGCATGCCCACTCTGTAAAATGCCCTTGCCCCCAGATGTATGTGCTCATACAACAGGTACAAAATTAGTATGATATTACATTGTCTAGCCTTTCAGGGAGGGCTGTCAAACTCGGTTCACATGACATCATCACGTGACATATTGCAACTTTTCCCCTTTGCTAAGCCCGGCATGGGCGTGGCCAGCACATGATGCATCTGGCCCATGGGCCGCAAAGTTGACAGCCCTGTTTTAAAGTATTCTGTAGCTGTATTTTACACTGCCTGCTGTTTTTTAACTATTACGAAATGGACCTTGAGCACATAAGGGAAAGATACATTATAAAGGTAATAAATGATTACAATCAAGTGTGCATCCTCCTGAGATCAGATAGGCTACAGTAGTTCACAATCCTTAATCCTGAGATAGGAAGAACATTCTTAGCCACTTCAACTCTGAAGATCTCTTTATCTAGGAATAAAGAAGTATAAGACCACCCACATCTCCATCAAGATCAATGGTCTATGAATGAATGAATGAATGAATGATTCAGATTATTCATATGATTCCTGCTGTTTCTTGATACCTTTAATTTCTCTATAAAATAAAATGTCTGTAAAAATTACAGTGAATGTTAATAAATCAGATCTGATCATTTCCTCAATTAAAACGACTGCTTTCTCTAGGTACCTTCCAAGAATGTGGAATCCTTTGCGTCAATGTTAAGGTCCTGTCCTTTAATTCAGATGGGACCTGCCAAAGACAAAATTGTCACAGGAAACATTTTTTATATTTTAGAAGATGATCTGTACATTGATTTTGGTGGCAAATTTCATTGTGTTTGCAAGCGACCAGCAGATGGCAAGTAAGTATAGTCATGCTATAGATATTTAGTATGTACAAATCTAAATAGCATGCCTGATAGTGAGCTATTTGTATGGTTATTGTTGAATAATATCTTTTCTTCAGACTTCCTAAATATTTCATTTAAAAAAAAATACTGACTGAGCATTTTAGTGAGCATAAGAGATCATGCATGCGCAAGGCTTTAATGGCAAAAAGGATCTTTTACATCTTTCTGCCTCTTAAATACGGCAACATTTATACAGAACATCATTTTCCTGATGAATTGACATCCAGAAGAACAGAACATTAAATTGATATTCAAGATTAGTTTTTGCATTTTGCCTAACACAGGCCAAAATTTTGCATTTTAAAGGGAGAGAAAGGTATGAGGCAGGCCTCCAGAAAGAGGCTCAGGAAATAGAAAATAATTGCAGAGAAGATCAAGCGTGAGAGAAGAAAAAATATTTTTGCAGAGGAAGGGGAGAAAGGGACTCCAGGGCTATGTTTAAGGAAGCAGAAGGAAAGAACAGAAACTGAGGAGGAAGAGTCCATAAATAAGAGCCATTTATTAGTTCCTTGTTCAAGTTTGAACCTAGCTAGAGGACTATGGTTTGTCTCCCAAGTGAAAAGATTGCCAAAAATTGATGGTATTACTCTTCTCCTTTGAGATAGACCAGTTAGGAAACAGATTTTATTCACCGGAACACTTATTGAGCTAGCCTATAAGTAACACAGTCTTCAAAGCCTCAGGATTTCCCTCCTTACATTCTGGTGCTTTGTTCTTAATCTTGGCAACTTGAAGATGTATGAACATCCTGGGGCTTAAGATCCACACTTCTTCAAGTTGCCAAGGTTGAGAAACACTGCTCCAACAGAGCCAGTTTGAGTGGGGTTTTCCCCTAATGTTTTAAATGCTGTAATGCTTAAATGCCTTTCCCAGGCTTATATATTTTGTAACTGTTGCTGCATAGTTTCCCCAAGGTTATTTCTTTGGAGCTCCACAATTGCTCCCTCCTAAATCATTCTGCTCTTACTCCCACTGTGAATTGCAGTTATTATAATAGCCTTAGCTGTACTGATAGCTGTGTGGAGAAGATGCAAAGATAAGAGCTCCTCATGTTATTAGTACATTTTGGGACAGTTTCTTCTAGTTGAATTGGAATAAGTAGGCCTTTTTTCACAATACCCAATGTGGGTACAAACTTTTACCTCTTCGTAGCTACTATGCAGACAACACAAATTCAAAGAAAAAATAAATGGGAAAACATATAGGTTATGAGTTCTTAAATTCTTTCCAACACCTGTACCAACAGTGGCCGTAAGAAGTATCTACATTTTCTTTTCTGCACTATACTAACATGTCTATTATTTGTGTTTCTTTTTCTCATGATGTTCTTTGTGGTTTGTTGGTATGCATGCACTAAGAAGCACATATGCTCTGTGCCATGGGACCAGGAGGATGTGGAATAGAGCTATTAACAGCTTTTTGAACAACTGCCCAAATGCTGCTCCACATAATTGCCCTGGGGGAATATTTTTTTAAGATGCTTTTGTCTGGAGTTCAGATCTAGATTTCGTCCATTTTCAAACTTGAACTTTCTTTTGCTGATTGTTCCGGCTTTACCTAATTTGGTCCTGTTCTGTTCAGAACATTTTCTGAGAGAGATCTGCTGTTGACTAGAAGGACAGGCCAAGTTCTGAGGTCCTTTACACAATTTCTTCCAGTGTTCTGTTCCGATGTAAATAATAAAACTAATTAAAAGGAAGAGAAAAGGGGGAAAAGAAATTCCACTTTTGTGAATTATACTAGATTAAAGTTTTTGAAGGGCATTAGACCTATACCTACGTGGACTAACCTAAATGGCACCAGCAATTTGATCTGGACATAATAACTTGTTTCAAAAGCCATCTCTCTTGGAATGTCATCTTGATAGGTTTTCCCTGAAATCATAACTTGGCTTTAATTTTTTTTCAGTAAAATTGCAGAAGGTCCACTACACTATATCCAAATTTGTAGTATAAGTTTTTCACGATTCCTGAATCTCCTGTTATTTCGTCATGGTGTATATTCATTTAAAAATAGTTATAATTATCAATAGTGGCCATCTTTAAATGGTCATATTCTAGCTCTGTAAATTGTGTGTGTGTGCACTATGTGTTTTATTTACCACACCAATCATATGTCTCTGAGTGATGTATAATGATATAAAAACAATAAAATCAACAAAGGAAATCAATTCAGCCTAGAAAAAAAATGTAAAAACGTTTATCCACAAGCATTATACAGGGATCACTAGAGAGAAGGTTGCTGCTTCTTCTAGTCTTGTGAACTTCACAAGAGGGAATCTCTAATGATAATTAAAAGTCAACTTTGGCAAGGCAATGCTTCATGTAGCCCCGTATTTGCACCTTTCCCCTTTTTAACAAAGAGGGAAAGCATGGCATTGACTTTGACTTTTGTTAGTGATTTTTAGTTGTGTCAGAGCTGCTGCCACTTAAACCTCTAAGTAGAAACTCCTTGGCTCCATTTGTTGAGAAGGGCATAGCTTTATTAGAAGGCAAGTGTATTGCAGTAGTGCAGTATACTTTTCTAATATATACCTTTCTCAACAAGGAACATTTCTGCTTAGAGATTTAAGTGGTGGCACAGTGACTTTTAGTAATTTTTGTTGACTGATTAAAAATTGTTTGTTTTATTTGTTCTTAGTCATAGTCCACTAAAGTCTCAGATCTTTGGTAAGATTGTTCTCCTTATTTTCACGGATGAAGAAATGGAAGGAAGAAATAGCAACTATTTATGTTTAAAGGAGGTTAGATTCAAGAAGGTGGCTTTTAAAAAGCTGCTTTTACAGGGTTATTCACAGTAACTCTTTGCCCAAACAATGCATGTGGTGCCTCTGTGTCTACTGTCAAACACTAGAGTGCATTTTTTACAGACTAGCTATGTGATTGCAGACTGAATCTATGCATTTTTCAGCAAATAGCTCCCAGGATTATTTATAGTAATGTACACTTAGGAAATTATAACTTTTTATTTCTTGTGGACTTCATCTTATTTGTTTAAATGCCTTACAGTGCACTTTTTGTTTGCCACCCACTGCGTTGTTCTGCAGTAGTTATTTTCAGCCTCAAACTGAGGTGCTGCGGTTCAGTATTTCACAAAGATGGTGTTGCTGAAATGGGTGAAACCATAAATCTGTAAATATTTTTGGACTATTTTTTTAATAGTTGTAGGCAGCTAGCAGAATTCACACCTGGAGACAAAATGCAAGTCATTACAAATCACCTTCCCCAGAATAGACATTATAATTAATAAATAATTCAGTTTTCCTTAAATAGTAGAATTACATATGACGGGGTTGCATACAGGGGTAGCCAATACATTAAAAAGGCTAAAGACTTTAGCACCGTTTTATTGCACCAGATGTAGATTTAAACATCTAAAAAAAATCTATGATGCAGATGTAATTTTTATTTATGAGTATGTTTCTAATAAGAAATTGCACAACTATGAAATTCTACTCAACTTTTAACCAATCATTATAAATGCTACCGTGTTTCTCATATAATAAGGCCGGGTCTTATTTTTTTTTGAGCCCCGAAAAAATGGCTAGGCTGTCTTTTCGGGGGTGACTTAATCCCCCCCCCTTGCATCTTTGGGTGGGCGGGTGGCGACGGCTTGGATGTTGACCTCGGCGTTGGTGGGGCAACTTCGTATCGGGGTCAACGCAGGCAGCACCATATCCGGGTGTGCAACAAAAGTACTTCCTAACGGCAAGCCCCCCCCCACCATTCCCCCCCCATTTTGCATGTTTTAATATAGGCCTTAATTTGGGGGGAGGGGCTTAATTTCATTTCATGCCTATAAAACATGCTGGGACTTCCTATTGGGGGAGGCCGTATTGTTGGAGAAACAGGGTACATTAACATAAAAAGTATATTCTAATTCGATGCTGCAAACTCTTGAGACTAAAAAATAATTAGTGTTATCAAGGTATATAGTCAATTGAAACTTAAAAAACAAACAAAAATGTGCTTGGTTTTATGAAATCTTAGCCATTTAAGAAAAATAAAAGGCTATGCAAAAGCTTTATATTTCATAGAATCGCATCAGTTAAAAAGAAACTTTTTCTAGGTTAGGAAAAGCATGCAGAAGATGCCTTCTGGGATTCTTTACAATAATTTTTGTTCTGGATCATGTGATAAGGAAGAAGGAGGGTCTTAGAATGGAAATGCTGACAGGGCTCCAAGCCACAGCCCAATCATCTATCCCAAAGGGTTGCATTGGCAGGATGGTTTTACTCTACAACCTCTTGTGTACAGGCTGAATATTACCCAACTTCAAACTTGAATCTTTCTTTCCCACCCCTCACTCCACTTTTCAACAAATTTGCTTCTTGTTATGGAGGCTTCAGGGAGTTACCTTGCTGAAATGCAGAGAATCCTGAGCCTGCCTTTACATTATTTCTTTGCAATATTATTTTGGATTAGAAGGAATAAAGAAAGATGGCAATTCAGTGAGATGAAATGGAGCAACCTGGAGGAATGACGCATGGTTGGTTAGCAAGTTCAGTTAAGATAGTTTATATACCACATTGTGTTGCGAATCACATATGTACATTTTAAGGTCATAAAAAATGTAAAGTGCAGTTTTGTGTTAGTAAATTTTTTAGTACTGGTAATTTGACATCAAAAACATTTTTACACTAAAAGTCTTTTTAAAAGGGTGATTGCTGTCCAGACAGGATAAGATCGAGATTTTGGAAGTATATATAGTATATATCAATAGGAGAGAATTGTGAATGATCCAACTATTGATGGAATATGTCGCCTTTGGAAAGTTAGCCTGGGAGATTGAATTGCTTGGGCTGAAAAGCATTCGGTAGCCTTGTTTTGAGAATCCAGGACAAAGTGGAGGTGCTTCATATAATAGATATTGAGAGGTTAGAAGTCATCCAATTCTTTTCCCCTGTGTAGAATTACTCTTTTCTCTCCCACAACCCATTTTGAATTTGTGTG